TGTGGGTATAGACGATTTGTTATACAGTAAGTACAGTTGTATGCAGTAAAATCCTAGAGGCTACTGTCCCTTTAACTAACTGTTTTAAACTGTTCGTTGGAAATGTCACTTCTTCGTCTTCACTTGAGACGCTTTCTACCGGTCTATCAATATTACTATCAGAGTAAAGGGATGAATGCCTAAGCAGTGGGTCTTTAACTGGGTGTCGCGGGGGGTTAGAACTTAGCAATGACGAACACAATGGTATGGTGAGATAAAGGAGGGGAACTAACGAGAATGAACGAAAATTTTGACACAGGCAATATTAGACAGCGGCGTGCTGAGTAATATTAATCAATCTTGATACCCATGCACGATATCATATACTATACGCATACGCTCCGTCAAAATATGCCTCAACAATTGCATGAGAAAATACCGAAATATGCAAACATTAACACCATAGCTATTTATAAGAAGAACAATGTACTTATACATATACATTTCTGCGATAGTGCGGTGAGAAACACACGGTGCTGTGGTGATGTTCAAACACGTTCGAGCACTCTCACAAATAAACGGTCGCTCGTGTGACAGGTAGCACTGGTGGCTGGTGGCTGGTGGCTGGTAGCTGGTGGTGGCTAGTTTGTTAGACACATAGTAATTACAGCAACATCAACTACAAGAACACAACATTTTTCTCTCGTAACAAGACGCTTAGCAAATATACGCGCTGGTCATGGCTCCACTATAAGGAAGCGTATTACTACCCGTGATCGTAATAGTGGTTAAGCGTGAGTGTGTGTATTTCACCCTTTGCTAGCGTCTATGTTAAATGCAGGCAATAAAGAACATAACGAACTATGATGTACGTATCCAGTTATCTCTTTAATTGTACAGCCTTAACTATGCATCCGCCCATAACGGGGCGAATGCGTACAGTCGAGGTGCGCGAGTAACATCACCAAACTTACGAGGTTATTGCTGAATGTAGCCGGCTATGAACAATCTCGTATCTATTACAATCTCTATCTCTGACTCTCTCTCCGGTCTTATCTCTCTAGTCGAACACGCGGTTATATACTCACATAGGTAGACACGCCTACCTATTGTGTATGGTCAGTCCGTACTACGTTACTGTCTGTAATTGGCTAATTCTACCTCTGTCTAGTCCAGCGTTATCTTTACACAGCTGGCCTGTATGGAACAATAGCTTATTCCTGTATATTTATTTCTCTGTCTTTCGACGGTATTACACATGTACATAACATAGGGAATGCGATTTGGTGAAAAGCAAATTTATAAGTTTGACATAGAATTAGCAAAGGATATTTAGAGAGAAGGCAATAATATTCTGTTAATTACTTGTAAGTTCATCAAGTTTCATAGTTTTTGAAAAAATCGTAAATTTTAAATATACTACGTATTAACAGTATATTTAATTCATAAGCAATGCACTTATTGCTACCAACAGTTTCGACCACCGTGCTAGTCGCCACCAGGTGGCAAAAGTTTACAAGAACAGGAATCCCATTGCTCACGTTATGTTTATGTAAGTAAATCATTTAGCATATATACACGATTGTGCATGAACACAGACACATGCTGTCAAACGCGCTCACGCACATCCAGGGGAGGATCTAGGGGTGGGGGTGGAAGCCAATCAAAGCAAAGGAATTATGTCCCCATTTAAAGTAACTTCCGTCGCCCGTTCTTGAACCACTTCCTGTCCCACAAAATCAAAAGGACCTCCTATGTCCACCATAAAGTAACTTCCGTCCCCGGTATTTAACTTCCGTCCCACGTTTTACAATTGCCATAATGTATTGGGAGGGGTATCGGCCCGCACGCTCTGCCGCAACAACCCTTGTACGACGCTCTGCGAACGACAGTTCGGCCGCGAACCAGTTAGCACACCGTGAAAATCATCAGCGGGCGCATAGGCCAGTAGCATAAATTTGCAAGCGCTAGCATCATAGCCATTACCATTGCTATCAAGCGAAGCCGACAAGGCGTCTAGACGGGTCAAAACGGGGGACGGAAGTTATCTTTATGGTGGGAGCATAATTCCTTTGATTTTTGGGACGGAAGTGGTCACACAACGGGCGACGGAAGTTATTTATGGTGGACATAATTCCTTGATTTGCTAATTGGCTCCGCATTATCCCATGCGGGCAATATATTCATTATATTGCGGGCCGATATATTCCTCTCTTTCCCATTGGTCGATTATATGGCGGGCTATAGTATGTAGTC